GCCAATGTGAACCTTATGAAGTTCAGCAAGGCCAAGTGCAAGGTCCTGCACCTGGGTCGGGGCAATCCCCAGTATCAGTACAGACTGGGGGATGAACTGATTAAGAGCAGCCCTGCAGAGAAGGACTTGGGGGTACTGGTGGATGAAAAATTGGATATGAGCTGGCAATGTGCGCTTGCAGCCCAGAAGGCCAATCGTATCCTGGGCTGCATCAAAAGAAGCATGGCCAGCAGGTTGAGGGAGGTGATTCTCCCCCTCTACTCTGCTCTGGTGAGACCCCACCTGGAGTACTGCATCCAGTTCTGGGGTCCCCAGCACAAGATAGACATGGACCTGTTAGAGCAAGTCCAGAGGAGGGCCACGAAAATGATCAGGGGTCTGGAACACCTCTGTTATGAAGAACAACTGAGAAAGCTGGGGTTGTTCAGCCTGGAGAAGAGGAGGCTCCAGGGAGACCTTATTGCAGCCTTTCAATATAGAAAGGGGGCTTGTAAGAAAGATGGGGAGACACTTTTCATGAGCGCCTGTAGTGACAGGACAAGGGACAATGGTTTTAAACTGAAAGAGGTAGATTTAGATTGGACATAAGGAAGAAATTTTTTATGATGAGGGTGGTGAGACTTTGGAACAGGTTGCTCAGAGAAGTTCTGGATGCTCCATCATTGGAAGTGTTCAAAGTCAGGTTGGACAGGACTTTGAGCAACCTGATCTAGTAAAAGATGTCCCTGTCCATGGCAAGGGGGTTGGACTAGATGATCTTTGAAGATCTCTTCTGTCCCATATGAACATGTTCTAATGAATATCTTTATCATATCAGAACAATATGATGACAAATAAAGATGCCATTGTCCCATAATTTAGATAATATTTGGATTTAGATAGTAATGTTTTTTCAAAAAGACAATTTTTCTAAAAGTTATTGGGAAAAATTCTGCTGCAAATTACTCATTGTGAATCAAAATCAAACCTACTGAATTCCCATTGAAATTCACCTTTACTTATGTGGAAACAAAATAAAAAAGTAATTCTGTAATTTGACTACTTTGAATACATGTTTTCTTCAAATTTATTGCTGCAATTGGCTCAAATCAAAAATATTGTCTCTGCACATTTTTTTCTTCTAAAAAGGGTATAATAAGAGTTGGAAGGGAAATTCAGAAATTGATCCACATGTAGTCTCTAATTTAAGGGGAGGGAAGGAATATCAAATGCAGAACATGAAAATAATTGTTTTTGCAGGCTACTTTGGAACTGAATTGTACTTCTGGAAGTCCCTGAGGTGTCACTGAGAGAAGCATGTCACTGAGAAGATGTCTGTGCTTCATTTTGATGATTTGGGGTAGACAGTAAATATGTTAGATGTTAGGTATTTCCATACTATGAATGCAACCTGAACTGTTTTCCTTCACATTTCAGAGGAAGTGTCAAACAACATTAAGGAAATGTGAGTGTTTTTTATGACAATTAAAATTTGATGCACAGAAAAATTCTACGGTACATTAAATACATAAATGTAAGGAAAAAGTGCTATGCGCATAAAGAAAAACAGGCAGAATCACAAAACAGAGAACATCAACGAGAAATTTCAGAAGTATTCACATTTTTTCCTGTAAATGTTTTACTATTCATATTCTGTCAATATATATTAAAAATATATTTTGAACTTGATATTTTTTCCTGATGTCATTCACCTTTTTTG